GTACCTCCACGTCCTCCTTTTACTTATTTTGAAAACCATTTTAAATTCTCTTTTAAAAATTCTCCCTGATTTGAGACTGGATTCACACGAATGTTCCTCCAATTCACTCAAACCAAGGCTCTGATACCAACTTGTAACGACCATAAATTTTAAGCGAATTTAAACTTTTCAAAAACATCCCAATTCATTAAGTTATTACAAAAAGGTTTTCAATACATTTATTATCAGAGTATTCCGAGAACCACAACATAAAACATAAACACGAGGAGCGGTACGATCACGCCTTTGCCTTGCCACGGTCTCATGAAGAACCTGAAAAAAACATTAAACAACAACTGTAAGCCCGAAAGCTTAGTGAGATACCCCCAAAATACCAACCACATATACCATACACACACAACATGCTATATTATAACAAATCACAGAACAGCCATGCATATCGTGCCTACTGTGTGACTGGTCCGCCGTATCGGGCCTTCAGTCCACCTGGTCCACCCTCCGAGTCTAGTTATGTCCCTTGAGTCTGCAGTGTGGTTGGTCCGCCCGCACCGAGCCTTCAACCCACCTGGTCCACTCTCTGAGTCTACAGTATGACTGGTCCGCCCGCATCGGGCCTTCAGTCGGTCTGGTCCACTCTCCGAGCCTCGGCACGTCTGGTCCGCCCTCGTGGGGCCTACAGCCTATCCGGACCGCTCGATGGGCCTTCGGAATAAACGGTCCGCCCTGGGTATGTTGGCCTACAACACAAAGCAGGACCCACCTCAACCCAACCCCAGTCAAACAACCATGTGCACATAAACATACAATCATATAACAATTCACATTTAATCAAACCGATCTAGCAGATCGCTTATCATAACATACTCTAAACAGGATACCGACCTAACACGTCACTAGCATATACCATCTTAATACCCGGATGCAACATAACAAGGCAACAACATAACAACGATACCTGGATATCAATCCGATAAAGGTCCGTCCTTGGTGCCTTAGACCCTGTTGATATAGTGAGGATAACTCACCTCACGATTGCCGAAACTCTGAACTGAAGAAGCAGATTCCCGAATCACCGACTCACCGAAAATCCCGAACTAGCCAACATAACAAAATAATCATTAGGCCAAACATACATCCACTTATTAGGCCAATGCCAAAGTCCAAATCTCCTACAAAGCCCAATATTGGCCCAATTTACTAAATTGGGTCCTCCTCACCAAATGGGCCTAGATTAGAGGTCCATAATAATAATTGGGCCCAAAATACTCTATCCATACTGTTTAATCAAGGTCCATCTTAATAACCCAATGACAGCCCAAACAAACAAGGCCCAAAATTAAAATGCCACAGAGGGGGTACGCTGGGCGTACAACGATGCTCGCAAAATGGGATCGGGGCACTGGCCCGCTATGCTGGGCGTACTCATAGGTTACGCGGGGCATAACCTCACTGCTCAACAACATCACATAACATCTTAATGACTTAAGCTCTTAAGCCCAAACATCAGATCCTTAGGTCAAATATGATTAGGATCTATAAAGTCTCAAACTTTATCACCTGGGACGTCCATAAAGCTCTTAATACAAGGTCTTAATCCATTAAGACCTACTTATCTCACACATGGAGCAACCACAACCCTTGGGACCTCATTTTTCTCACTCAAGACCTCTCCTAAGGTCTGAAAGGACAGATAATCTCGACCAACTCGAAACATGCATCAAGATGAGGACTTTTGGGACAAGAATGGTGTCAAAGCTTCACAACACATAGATCTACACAATATAAATGTCAAGCAAGAAGCTTTATACCTCAAATAGGCTCCAAAGGATGATGTCTTTCCAGATCTATAAGCTCCAGCCGTTCTACTCCTTCTTTGACAACTTCTCCTTTCTCCCTTTATGCTTTCCTTTGCTAATCCAAGCTTTCCAAGACCAAACACACCCAACAATGGAGGTGGGACGACTATCTAGGGTTTCAGAGGTTAAGAGAGTGCTTATGGAGGCTAAGGAGGAAGCCTTTATGTTCCTTATATAGTGGTTGCCCTTAAAATTAGGGTTTGGGGATTCTGAGAGTACGCTGGGCGTAATCGACCATGCACCCGCGTTCATTTAGCCAATTACGTTGGGCGTAACCCAGCCTACGTTGGGCGTACCCAACGTGCCCCCTTTTCTTCACCTGGTCTTCCCTTTCCACTTTTCCCATTAAGAGCTACAATCGATATTATCTTCAAAACGTCGTAACTCCTCTACTCTAAACCCGCTCCCGATAAACTTTCCATTCACACGAGGGTGTGGAGAAGCCCTATGCTTCTATTAACATACACCAGTCCAAAACCTTCTAGGATAAAACCCAATTCCCATAAAAGGACCAAAATTACCCTTCCTCTTAAATCTCAGGGACTCATAAATAAATACTTTAAGAACGGGGTGTTACATAGGCTATGTTTGATGTATTAGTTGAAAAGCTAGCTGATAACTGAAATGCTAGTTGTTAAATAAAAAGCTAGTTGATAGCTATGAAATGCTAAAAAGTATGAAATGACATAAAAAGAGATTTAAAAGAATGTGCTTTTTTAATTAATTAAAAGCTAGTTGATAAATAAATCTCTTTTTATGTCATTTCATATTTTTCAACTAACTGATAAAAAATAACGTTTGGTAAAATTAATTGAAAAGTTAGTTATAAAATATGAAATGACATAAAAAGAGATTTAAAAGAATGTGCTTTTTTAATTAATTAAAGGGTATATTTGGAAAATTTAAAAAAAAAAATCTCCTAAAAAGTTAGTCTAAAGCTTTTTAAAAAGCTAGCTTATAATTTACTTTTTGGCTTTGCAAACATGACCTTAATTATTTGTAATCGTGGGTAATTAGTTGTTTAAACTTTTGATTGTTTTCCACATATCACATGTTAGTGATGAATGATAATATATATATATATATATAATATATATATATATATATATATATATATATATATAATAATATATATATATATATTAAATTGAGATATTTAGAATGATTTTTTTTCTGAAGTAAGAAAAATATATATAGTATTTAGATTAAAAACTATAATTTTACAAAAAATGACGTTAAGGAAAAAAGAAATGATAATTATTTATCCTTAATTTATGGGATAAAACGTAATTTTTGGCTATTTAAATTTGGAATGTTTAATTAAATGGGAATGAATTTGAAATCTAATTTGATATACAACTTATATCAAACGTTGAATTGATTTCGGAATATCAAATAAGGATTTCAAAATTAAGATTAGGATTAGTTTTTTTTTTTTTTTTTTTTTTCAAATTTTGAATGTCAAATTAAAATTGTAATAAAAAATATAGGATGCAGTTAATAAGAGCAGGAAGAAAAAAGAAACAACTTTAAAAGAGTGTCACATGGCAAATAAAAATGTTATTAAAAGGATGCATCTTCTCTGATAAATGAAAGTTTATTTTATCACATGTCACACTCTCATTCAATTTGCCAAATGTTATTTTGTGGTTATTTTAAATTGATTTTTTTTACATGTCATTTTATGAGTTTTTCTATTTAAATAAATTTCACATAATACTTTAATGTAATAATTAGAATAAATATAGTAATAAACGAATATCAATTTCATTAATGGACTTACCTTTTTATTTCAAAATTTCAAAATTAAAGTTCATTAGTTTAATTTTTTTATTTATTTAAATTTAAAAGATAAGAAAATCAATTTTAATAATTCATTATTTTTTTTTATTTTTTTTTATAAATCTAAAATTCTTAAATATTTAGATATTTATATTTAACTTTTTTTAATTAACTCATGTAATACCTGGATCTCACAATTACAATTAATGATAGAAGATAGAAGGATATTAACCTTATTTTATTTATTAAAAAGGAAGATGTTTTAATGTTTCTTTGTATTCAATCTTTCTTTGAAATCGAATTCCACATCGAACGGTTTTAGGTGCTGTTTGATTTTTTGAAACAAAAATTCATGAAGTCTGTGGAACAATTTGCAACCCTCTGCAGTAGAAGAGGTGGACCAAACGGCTGCAGACTGTAATAAGAAACATGTTTGTTTTTTTAACATCTGCATACTACTGCAGATATTAAAAAATTAAAATAAACTAACTTTATGAATCAAAAATAGTTTTTTAATACAAAAAATTTAATAATGTATAACATTTCGGAAAGAATTAATGATATTTCAATAACAAATAATGATATTTCAACAAAAAAAATAAAGATATTTAGCAAAAAAATAATGATATTTCATCAAGAATCTATCATTATTCAATATAAAAAAAATTCAACAAGAATAAAAAAAAAAAAAAAGTGAAATAAAATTTCAACAACATATAATAAAAATTTCAGCAGGAAAAAAATAAAAAATAAAAAAAGAGGTTGGAAGAGGCAGTACAAGTGTTGTGCCAAACAGAGCACACACAGAGGTTTTTGACTCTGAAGGCTTCTAAAAAACAAACAACTACGAGATGAAAAGTGATGCGCATGTACTGCACCGCACAACAATAAAAGATCTGAAGATGTTTTTTTCCAAAAAACAAACACCACTTTAGTCTTTATTTATATTCAACTAGGTGTGATACCCATGTATTAAATGAGTTTATTTAAAAAAAAATTAAATATGAAATTTTAACAATTTGAATAGTTTGAATTTATATAAAAAATAAGAAAAATTTTGAATTATTAAAATTAATGAAACTTTAATGTATTGTATACATTACATATATAAATCATTTCTAATAAATACCTTACATATTAAATTTGTGGAATTTTCATTTAATAAAATGAAAAATATAATAAAATACCAAATGGAAAATAAAAATTTTAAAAATTTTAGAAAATATCAAGGAGAAAATAACGTTTAACAAAAAAAAAAAACCTTCTAAGTAGATACAAGTTTTCATATTAAAAGCCCAATTCGCAATATGAATTTATATTTACCGATCTTAATTTTACGGGCTAACTATTTAAAAAATAAAAGAGAAGCCCAAATTCTGGTTTTTCTTCCTTTAATGCCCCCAAACGCCTGTACCTCGTTCAAAATCAGCCTCCACGCTTCTTCTTCACACAGCTGCAATTTCTATCCCACCGTCACCACCGACCCTTCTCCGATCTCCGGCGCCACCAGCTACAGTCTCACCTTCTCCAATCTCCTCGTAAGTCACTTTCTTTTTTGTGGTTAGGTACAAGTGTATGCTTGTCTACTTCGATGAAGCAGCTACAATTAGTTGTTCGATTAGTGTCTAATTAGTGTTTGAATCACATCAATTAATCCGAATCCTGACTGAATTCCTGGTCTGGCATCTAATTCCTTTCAAGATTTGGTTTGACATCTGTTTCTTGTCTGAAATTCTTTCAAGATCGCTGTAGGGCCTGTTCTTGATCGAATGCTTGTTATTGTCCATGTGTTTTATGTTGTTCATTTGGTAATATGACTAATATCTCCAACTGTTTGATTGTGCACATTAGGATCCACCATTGTTAAACAAAACAATAGAGACATGGGCAAGAAAGGATCCCCTGCATTTTCTGGACCTCAAATGTCAGTCACAATTAGAGAAGCTTCAACAGGGAAGAAACACACAAATGCCAAATCTTCATTAAAATTACAACATATAAAGAATCTCGCAATGTGGGCGACTCACGATGCATCCATACCTTCATTGGGTGCTTTTTTTAGTCACCATTTTGCAGCTTCTTCAGAGGCTTTGGCGACACCAGTTGATCCATCCTTGTTTACTTGTCAAAGGTACTCTCTTTTTCTCTCTACACACACAATACTATTAAGGGCAATTTGGTCATATCTTGTGTTCTTGTGTAGATGTGAATCTATACTTCATCCTGGCTACAATTGTACAATTCGAATTGAAAACAACAAGAAAAAAGCTCGACAAAAAGGCAAGAAATCTTGTCATTATCCTCAAAACAACATTGTCTACACTTGTCATTTTTGTATGCACAAAAATATGAAAAGAGGCACTCCAAGAAACACGAATCCACCAAAGCCCAAACCAAACACTATACTAGCTCCACCATTAAACGACCCTGACAAGGGTAAAATGGGTATTTTAGTAAAAAACGACTCTGATCCAGCAATTCCGACATTGACATTGTTGGAGTCCAAGAAGAAGAGGAATAGGTCAGGGGCTAAGAAGAAGGTGGCATATGATCCAAATGCAGAAAAATCAGAGAATGCATCTACTAATAGAAAAAGAAGAAAATCTTGGACTAGTTTGAAGGAGATTGCTGAAAGTAATGACAATGATAATCGCCAAAAGTTGATGAACATAACAATCCCATTTTCAATGGAGTAAAGAGTTATTTATTTATTTATGTTTAGTTGATAATGATGTAGATATGTTGGTTAAAATTATAGAGTTTTTTGTTATAAACATTTGTTTCGAATTGCTATATGGTCCATGGTTTGAATACAACTAAAATATAAGTGACTAAGGGGCTGTTTGTTTCCCCACTTAATGATCCCATCAAGAGATTGAATCTTAACCATTAAGATTCAGACTGTTTGGTTGAACCCTTTTCCCTCTCTTAATGGGTAAGATGTGCCAAAAAACGATCTGATTTGATAAGACAAGAAAAGGAGTTCCTTAGCCTACCAACAAACGTCCGCCTCTTTTTCTTCTTCTCCTTCTTTCTACATATCGAGCGCTTCTCTGAGTCCTCCCTCTTCCTCAGGCGTTGGTGGCTTCCTTGCCAACCTCCAGCTTCGCCGCCGCCTCCACCTGCCAGCCTTCGGCAGTGCTGCTCCGTCTCCGCCTTCGCCTTCGTCGCCTCCCCCTAGCCTCCTCCTACTTTCACCGGTAAGTTTTTTGATTTGTTGTTCTTCCTCGAAATTGGTGTTGTAATCGTGTTCTTACTACTCGTTTTTTTTATTCTAGTCGATTTTGTATGAAATTGGTGTTGCAAGTGTAATTTACAAAGACGACTTTTCGATTGGTCTGATATTGGTCGAATAGTAAAGAATAAGTTAATAGGTATAAATGGATCGATGCTTGGATCCATAAATACTTCAAATTTAAGAGTTATTCGTCAAGTATATGTTAGAGAGTTTGATGATTGAAGTTACATGCAGATGTTTTTTTATCCATAATCAAATTCCAAACCATTTCCTATTTAATGAGTTTATTGCCAAATTGATTGAGTGCAGGTGGTTAAAATGATAGCACCAGTTCCTATTTAACGAGTTTATTGTCGAATTGATTGAATGTTGGTGGCTAAATTGATTATAGACACAGCTAAATTGATTGCAGGTGTCATTAACATACACAAACTTTTACATTAATGTTGTTATAGAGATAATAATGTGATCTCAGGATGTATATATGACATATTTGGATGTTGGATGAAGTCTTTATTATATATGCAAAAAATAGTTTAGAGGGTTAAAATAGTCATTTTTAAGAGGCAAACATTCAGTGACTAACCAAACATCAATTTATTGTTCAGATACAGATTCATAAAGAGTCTCTACATCATCCAGACATCTACATCATTCAGATATAAATCTTTCAGATGCTACCAAACAGCTCCTAAGAGCAAATTATGTCTTATGACATTAACCTTTTATTATAATTGAATAACATATTGTCACATGTAACGCCTGTAGATCCGGGCTAGTCAATTTGGAGATAATAGAGGTCGAAAACGACTTTTCGACAAAAGATTATGTAGAATAAATAATCTTAACCAATTTGTAGAATATGTCTCAAGGGTTCCGTACATATAAAGAGCGCCGAAATCCGAGTTATAACGAAGAAGTTACGACCCGTCAAAGTTTAGCAACGGAACCGGCATGGCACTGCGAAGACGTAAATAGTGAATTTATGATAGAGCTTCTTTTAGCCTTAGTAATCTAAATGAAAGTTATAGAATATGGTAACCTAAGAGCGTCCATAAAAAGAACGCTCAAATCTGACTTCTTATGAGGAACTTATGATTTTTCAAAGTTTCGACTTAGCGGTGTAGAGCTCGAAGTTCGAGTATTATATCGAACGGTTTTTAGCCGACACAACTTAAACGAGAATCGAAGATCTCGTTATTAGTAGGTAACGATAAAAAGACAGAAGAAAATGGACATCGGATTAAGAAGTTATGAGATTTTAACGGACCAATTATGTCCTGGCCTGTTAAAAATATAATTTTAAAAATAAAATCAAAATTAGCCGACGGAGTCTAAACGAAAGTTGTAGAGTACGTCTCCACCTACGCGTGGATATAAAGAACGTCAAAAACGAAGTTCGTATGAACAAGTTACAAATTATAATAGCATATTTACGTATTAAAATAAAGTATAAATCATATATACGTACACATATATATACATATGTATATATCATTAGAAAGGTATCGACGATGCAGTCTGATAAGTTTAAAAATAAACTTGAAGATCGATTAGATCTATGAAACAGGTAGAGAAATAACCAGATAAACAATAAGAACAAGCAAATGGATCAAAAGGTGTCGAATGATTAATAAACAATCCTCAGAAGAGCTCGATAAAGAACATCAACTGTAGAGGATTTTAGGGTTTACAATAATCAATGAGAATGACGACAGCTACTCTATACGCATACATGCATGCATATATTTATATTAAAACCCTAACAGTTTATCTAAGAAAAAGGAGGCTAATCTAGATAAACATGGATTGACAAGCCCAATCCGGTTGTAAAACAAAAGGGCCCAAGACGCAACACATTAATCTTCAACAATCTCCCCCTTTGCGTCTTTGGCACAGAGGCTTCATTCCCTTTTAACAGCAGATGGTTTCTTCACCGTCTCAAAAATCCTCGGTATAATGGCCAGAATGTGATGCCTGAAAGTGATATACCACCGAAGCATATCTGTGAAATTCTTCTTGTCTGCTGTAGAGTTCTGCTTGCATCGGTGAATGATGTTTATGATATGCTCCAGGCAATCTGTTGAAAACAGATGCTTGTCTACCAAAGCAAACAGAAACTTGTGCTTATCGCCTCTTGTGAACATGACCGTCAGATTTGAAGAGTCAATTTGCCCTAACTTCATTTTGTGCACATCTCCTGTCTTGGAAGTAGGCTTGACGGTCGGTTTCTTGTTCATTATTTTTGCTATTTCCTGATCCATAGTGGTAAGCTCATGGATATAGGAAGCCAACATTCTTTTGAGATGTTTCAGAATCGGTTCATACTCTCTTTGATTTGAGAGAAGAATGTTGTATAGCAGAATCCAATCATGAGGATTCAGACTGGGAAGATCTGCCAGAGAAATAAAATGTTCTGTGTTGGCCGTTCCTCTGTTGACTTTGAAGTTAACGTTCACAAATTTCCCAGCCTGTGTTGGTTTCAGTACCTTGACCTTTATAATCTTCTGTGCACTCCATGTCAAGTACTGTGGTTGACCATACTTCAAATAAAAATCTATCAATTCTTTGTCAACCTTCAAGTTTGGATGAGGGACATCAGCAGTGACATCGAAGCAATGAAATGTAAAAGCCTTTCGTGTGATCGGCATGTCAAACTGCGAGTCTTTGGTATTCTCACACTCAAAAGATGCAATCGGTTCCAACCAATACATGGAGGGAAACTCAATCGCTTGATTAATGAGTGTGTCTCTGTCCCATTCTGGGAACAGAGTCTTCTTGGCCTGTAAAGCATCCTCATCCTCCTTGATTCTTCTTTCTTTGGCCTCTGCCTCTCGAGCTATTTTCAGTGTCTCATCCAGCTCTTTGTCTCTTTTCTTTCGTTGAAGAGCTTCAGCAATAGTTTCATCAGTATCTGACTCGCTCTCAACAAGTAATTGTTTTCCAGAACCCGAAGCTAAATTAACCTTCGGGTCTGTCTTTGGTATACCCTCCTCTCCCCCTTGTCTCGGAAGAACAAGCTTCTCCGAGACACCCTTCATCTCGCTCAGAATGGTAATCGCAGGAAGGAGTTTAGCCTGGAGATGCTGTCGGATGGTAAGGGTAAGAAAGGGATCATGAGTTTCGAGGACAGTTGTCAACATGTTCTTGACATCACCAGCGCAACCTTGAAGAACAGCCCGCTGAGTTTTCAGCAAAGAGATTTCTTGTTGTGCCTGGGCCAGTTGTATCTTCTGAAGGTCAATGGTTGCCTGATGCTTGACAAGATCCTCTTTTAAAGTGCTCTCGGCTGCTAGAGAAGCAAAATGTGAATCCAAAGATTGAAGAAAAGAGGTGGATTCAGTTTTGAGGTCAGCACGCAGAGCCTCGAATTTTGAAGTTTCACCCTGAAGGGTAGCCGAAAAGGAGTCCACAGACGTTTGATACTTGGCCGCATTAGCATCAGCGTGTGCTTTGAGAGAATCGAGAAAAATCTGAGTTGTGTGGACAACCTCAGAGACTTCCTTTGTGGCTTTGGAGCACGAAGCAGCTGATTTGTCAATGGCATCAGTGGAGCGATCCAGAGCATCAGTATACGTCTTGATTGCAGACTCGATAAAGGCTTTCAGCACCACACCCCCATAGGCTTTATTGTCAGCCAACAAACTATCGAGTTTGTCATGAATTTCTTGAAGCTGCTGATTGGTAATAGGGGTATCTGCATCAGTATCAGTGGGAATCCGGTATGGGCTATAATAAAGAGAATCGTACTCTTCATCATCACCACCCAAAGTAGCACCGGAGGTTGAGGATGGAGAAGGTGATGGTGGGATGTTAATGACAGGTGTTTCAACCACAGTAGTAGCCCCTGTATCAGATACATTGACTGTTACTGGTGGTTGGGAAGAGGTGGTAGTAACTGATTCGGTGATGAGTGGGGATCAAAGATGTAGGGATATTGACAGAGAAAGGAATGGTTGAGGTGGGTAAAGAGGTTGGTTCTGTGGTAGTGGGAGTGATGATGATAGGAACAGAAAGTGAAACCTTCTGTTTCGGTGATGGGGGTGGGGTAGGAATTTTAGGAGAAGGTGGAGGAGTGGGTAGTTTTGTAACTTTGGGAGATACTGGTGGAGAGGGAATATGAGTATCTGTAGGAGAGGATGGTTTTTGAGGAGACTGAGCAGGAGTTGGCTCTTTTGGTGAAGCATGAGGAGCGGCAGCCTCTGCGTCTGATTGTTCATTTGGAGCAGAGCCAGGAGAAGGGGATCCTTTGGCCCTTTTAGCCATCTTCTTAACCTTCTTTGATTTTGACTGAGAAGGTTCTTCTGCATCATTTTTTCGCTTAGAGGATCTTGGCTTTCTCTCCTTTTTCGGTTCTGTTTCCTTCTTCTCTTGTTTTTCCTTTTTACCAGCCCTCTTGCCACGGTTTGCAGGTTGATCTAGGGCTTCCAAGGCGGCTTCTGTTCGTCAGTCAGAACCCTTGGAGGCAAAGGAGTTCTGGTGCTGTAATCGGCCATGATCTTGCTATGAGGCGTGACACACCTGTACATGGATTCAGGAATTAATCCATAATGTAGAAACTTACTCGGGTCAGAAACAATAATCTTCTTAGTGTGGAAAGAAGCTATTGAAGCCAGAAGAGCATCCTTCATCACGGGGATTTCTAGAGAATCCATGGCTTTCTTCGTGATGAGCGTCCAGAAACGTCCGCAAGAGATCTCGGAGTACCGGGTTGTGGTGTTTAGACTCTGAACGACTTGAGACCAGATTATGGAGCCATAATCTAAGTTG